CTAGAATTATCATATCTAGAAGAAGACAACATGGTAAGGTACTCTCTAAGCCAACAGTGGTTCACCTCATCTGACCTTTTTCATGGCGATAAAGGCCTCTATCTACACTTCCCTGAAAAGCGCCAGAAAAAAATTACAAGGCTAAATGAAGCAACCAAAGCTCACTTAACTATCTTGCTGGTGACTGGCATGCTAGGATCCTGCTGAAACCACAGAGGTGTCATGAACACGTCCCTAATGCCTTGGCCTCTCGTGGACCAGCTCACAGCAGGGACACAGCACTGAATTATCAATCCTCTTTGGTTTTGGGTACCTCACTGAATTAATTATCCTCGATTTAACAGATCTTGAAATTGATCCAACCTACAGCTAAGAAGCGCATACCCTTAATTCCAAGGGTGCTGATGAAATTACAAAAAACAAGTTTTTCGTGGGTTCTGTGAACAACTAAAAGGGACAGACACTAGCAGAAAATTCTGAAATAAATAGAAAAGGGATTCTATGTGGTTGTTATTAGGCTCTATGTGGTGTTCTGTGAATGCAGCTTCCCAGGATAACATATACTGGCATGATCATAATCTGGAGCTCTTGCCCTTTTTTGTCAGAATGGACAAAAACAAAAAGTTCCCTAATACTGTGAGACAAAAGGAGAAATCTGAGGAGATGCAATGATGGCAAGAATCATTATTCAGCATATCCAGAGCATGAAGCAAATTTCCTTTTGGTGCGTTTAAAGGGAGTTTCTGTCACCTTCTTCTAACTACCCACAAGAGGAGGGACGTATGTGAAGCAGACAGAAGCCTGCCAGTAACATCATCAGTGATTGGCAAGAGCATCCAGGTAAGACCTAAGAGAGGAAGATACATGGCTCCATTTTGCTTCTTTTTTCTCCCTTTTCTCCTCTTCCCATCCCACCCTGTGGTCAGTTGGAAGCCTATTTCTCACAAACAGTCCTGTAACGACAATGATGATACTGTGCTGCTTTAGGGCCCAAAAGACACAGAGACCCAGGTCTTTAAAATCTTACAGACAATGCAAGTCATTGCGTTATAAGGAGAAGAGAGCACAGGAACCAACAGTGACTTTTCTCCAAATAATTCCATGATGATCCTTTTCACTCAACCTCCAGCCTCTGCAGGAGACACACATGCACTCACACACCCACACATATGCACAAACACACACATTCATGCCCACATACTGCATTAAGGCATTAAAAGGATGTGACTCCAACCAAACAAGTTTCCCTGATGTTTACGGAATCTCCAGCAAAGAGAGCTGCGTTATACTGCACTGTCTTCCATTTTATACATTTTATGAGCCCATGGTTTCATTTTGGGGAATGGTTTCCTTTATTAATTTATTTTTCTATAAGTAGTATATTCACATGGTTCAAACTTCAAAATGTGCTAAAAGGTACACATGAAAATCTCTCTCCCTCTCCTGTGCCTGATCCACCCAATTCCCATACCTCCAACAAGTAATCACTGTTACTGGTTTCCTGTTTATTCTCCCAGAGATCTTTAACGAACATATTAACCAACAAAATACATATTATTTGGGGAGGTGGGGTTAAAATGTTTATACTTGGGACCAATATGGGAATAGGAGTTTGAGATATGTCCTGATCACTCAGTCCCCCACCATCACCTTACTCCCTCTGTTTTTAACCTTATAACTTTTACTTCTTTTCCTCCCTGAATATTTATTTCCTCATCAGTGGGGAATATGGGTTCTCTAAATTCATTTTTCTTTTCAAATTTGAACCTGAGTCCAGAAGGCATCCAAGTTAAGTTCACCAGAAATTATAACCACTCAACCACAGAAAATTTATGTGTTAAAACAGCACACAGCTAATATAAGAATGAATTCATTTTGAGTGGTAGGAGTTATATTTTATCACAAGCCTGGAAAAATGCCCACTGACCCCATGTGAAAAGGAATGACAGTGCATTGAATGCGTTTTATGTTTGGATGAAGTTCTGGGTATTTGTATGACAAGAGATGGCCTAAAAGTTGGGACTAAACTATAGCAAACAGGGAAAGAAAAGAGGAAGTAAGGTCTCTGGTATACGGCTTGGGGAGCTAAGAGGAAAACTGGCTGCAGAATTTGGACTGAGGTTCCTGCCTCTGCTGATCCAGAAATGGTCAAGAGACCAGGTTGAGGAGAGTGGAGATTCTGAGGCCTTTTCAATCTGCCTTAAATCAACGAGAGTTCTCTGTGCTGAGTGAGGGAGAGGTGAGGGTCAGCTTTGGGCAGGGGAAAAGGCAACAGCTGTTGAAACCAGGGAGCCACGGAAATGAGTGTGCTCAGAAGGGGCATCGGGAGAGGTCAACCACTGCAGCTATGTACAAATACACACTGAGCCCCACTCACCCACCCACTACACCAAAAGCTCACCCACCCACTACACCAAGAGCCCTGTCTACACGGTATGGGAAATACAGAGTCTAATAACACAGGCCCTGCGTAGTGTGGGGAATTTTAAGACAGTTGCAGAAACACCATCTATTATGATCACATTTTGGCCAATTGCACGCAAGCAGGCAACCTTGGAAATTTCAGGTGCTAGCAAAATTCAGTGATTTAAGGAAACCACGTTGGGGTGGAAAGAGCACGGTCTTGGAATTCAACAGTTGACGCTAGATCCAGGCTCTGCCTTTGCTGGATGTGACTTAAAGGTTAGTGCTTATTTATTCATTTTTCTATTGGGGGGTGTCCTTTACTCATTAGTTAAAATTATTAACTACTCTTTTAAGAATATTAATTCTTTTTATAATATATGTTGAAAATACCTTCCTGCTTTTTTTCTTGCCTGTTTACTTTGTGTGTGTTCTTTTTCTTTAAAAGGGGAATTTTAAAATTTAATTTGATTCAACTAATTTTCTTTTCCTTTATTTTTGCTTCCATTGTTTTTTACTTAGAAAGGCCATCCTTGTCCTGAGATCAAATAACTATTGTGCTATGTTTTCTTCTGGTTGCTTTATACTTATATCTGTAGATATAATGCCACATGAAATTTACACAGTAAACACTGTGAGGTATGAATCTAAATTAATTTACCTCAAAGAGTTAACCAGCATGTCCCAGCACCATTTGTTCAGTCTCTCTTCCCTTTGCTACCAGTTGGCAATGCCACCTTTAGTGGCCAAAATCTAAAGTATATTGTGCTCTGTCTCTGGGCTTTCTATTTTTGTCTTTGATGGCTTTTTAATGAGGAAGGGGAGCAGCATGCCACAAGCCCTGGGGTATCTACATACAAGAGAAAGATAGCTTGGTGGGAAATATCCATGGTCATTGAGAGAATAAGACACAAGATGCCACTATTGCTTGGTGAGTAGTCATTCCAGCGGGTACAACCAGGGCCGACAGATTCATAGGACATGCTTAACTTTGGAGGGAAAAAAGTTGAATGGTGGAAAACCGACTCTGTGGGTTAATTCCTCAGCTGAAACACTGTTTCATTCCCAGAATTTCACCTGGAAAGAGTGTGTTTGCTTTGTTTGACATCTTTATGTCTCTGTAACCACGTTTCCTACATAGTCCTATGGCCAGGACTTTATTAACTGAAAGCTATGTGTGAAACTACTAACAAAAAGGTTCAGGCTGTTCCCTCTGCCTGATATTACCTCTATCCAATCTTCCTTTCCATTCTTTCTATTCTGTGGGTCTTATTTACTGAACACTATGTTGTATCAGGCTCAGAGCTAACACTAGATTTCAAAGATGAAGAAGATAGGAACCTTCTCTGTCTACTCTCAATGATGCTCACAGTCGAATGGAGGACACAGACAAGTAAATAAATGGTCACAATCCAGAATGACACATGCTGTGATGTGAGAGGCACAGGGGCAGGAGGGGCATGAATCTGAGTTTCGTGTAAGAGGGTAAGTCAGGGGAGGCTTCCTAGAAGAAGTGACACTTAAGCTGAGATCTTAAGTTTGGCTCATCTGATGAATGAGAGAGGGAAGACTATTCCAGGCCAAGAAAATAAGATGGGCAAAAGCCCAAAGGTTAGAAAATATCTGGATCTCTTAAATAATTGAAAGTATAATTGGTGCATAGGGTGTGGAGTGGATAAGGGAACTCCGAGAGGAATTAGAAATGTCTATGATAAATGCCAGTATGATCAAGGGCCTTCAGGCCATATTAAGCAGTTTAGAGTTTATCCTGAGAGTGACGAGGAGCCCCTGAAGGATTTTTCAGGTGGAGTGACAAAATCAGGTATGATTTTTAGAAAGCTCATCCACTCTGTGGGTGAGGAGACCAGATGGCAGGTGGTTATACCTGGAGGCAAGGAGAACAATTGCCCAAATTTAAGTGATAAATGGTAGTGCCCAGAACAATGGTGGTGGCAGCTGGGACTGAAGGCAGTGAGTAAATAGAGAGAAATGGGTGAATTTTAGCTATATTGAGAAAGTAAAATTGCCAGGATCTGGTGGTATTTGGATACAGACAGGGAGGAAGAAAAACGGGTCAATAATGACACCCAGGTTTCTGGCCAGACCAGCTGTGTTGCTAGTGGTGATAATGATTTCAGCATTAAATATGCTTTTTAATAAATGCCAATTCTGAAACCCCTTTTCCAATAGCTATGCTTTTTGAAGTATTAGGAAAACATGCTAAAGACTTTTTGAACTGTGAAGTCTTAGGATGGATTCATGTCATAATGTCCACATGAACACCACAAGAATTAGACCAACAAACACCTCCAGCCTAGCCCAAAAATATATGTATTGGATTAACGCTTGTATAATAAAGTAAAAAAAAAAAAAAGAACCTCTTCTCCCATTGCAGACAACTCCTTGGTTTCCCACGGCACCAGGCACAGGCATTTGCAGATATTAAGTTAAACTATATGAGACTGCCATTTTTGTAGGTCCCAAGCAATTAAATATTGGATATTTCATATGATTCAACCTCACAGTAGAAGATCAACACTGGAGTGTTGTACAGTTTTCAGAGCTCACAGTCCAGGGCTTATCAACTTGATTCAATTAACCCAACATTCTGATTACAGAAAATGGGATGGGAAAACCTGACTGACGTCTCGGAATTTTTCCTCCTGGGGCTCTCCGAACAGCCAGAGCAGCAAGAGGTCCTCTTTGGGCTGTTCCTATCCGTGTACCTGGTCACGGTGGTGGGCAACCTCCTCATCATTCTAGCCATCATCACTGATGCTCACCTCCACACCCCCATGTACTTCTTCCTGGCCAACCTCTCCCTTGCTGACACCTGCTTTGTGTCTACCACGGTCCCCAAGATGCTGGCAAACATATGGACCCAGAATCAGGTCATCTCGTATGCAGGGTGTCTATCACAACTGTATTTTTTCATGCTGTTTGTGATGCTGGAGGCATTCCTCTTGGCCGTCATGGCCTACGACCGCTATGTGGCCATATGCCACCCACTCCATTACATCATGGTCATGAGCCCTGAGCTCTGTGTCCTCCTAGTGTCTGCATCCTGGATCATGAACGCCCTCCACTCTCTCCTACACACGCTCCTTATGAACAGCCTGTCCTTCTGTGAAGACCACAAGATCCCACACTTCTTCTGTGACATCAACCCCCTTCTGAGTCTGTCCTGCGCAGACCCCTTCATCAATGAGCTGTTGATCTTCACCACTGGGGGTCTTGCAGGCCTAGTTTGTGTGCTTTGCCTGATTATCTTTTATGCATACATTTTCTTGACAATCCTAAAGATCCCCTCAGCTCAGGGAAAGCGGAAAGCCTTTTCCACCTGCAGCTCTCATCTCTCTGTGGTCTCTCTATTCTTTGGAACTTCTTTTTGTGTTTATTTCAGTCCACCCTCCACCCGCTCAGCACAGATGGACACAGTTGCATCAGTGATGTACACAGTGGTAACCCCGATGCTAAATCCTTTTATCTATAGTTTGAGGAATAGAGACATCAAGTCTTCCCTGACAAAGCTAATTTGGGTTAGGAAAATTCATTTGTATTAGTGGTAGTGACTTCACATCCAGTATGGGGGTCTCCAACTAATTGCATCCATCACATTAAGTAGTGAAGAATGAGAGAGGGAGAGAAAGTGGAGACCTCTCTTCCAGGACCTGTGATCTGAACTTGAAATATTCATGTCTAATCTTCAGGACTACATCAGAACAAACCCATCATCAGGTCAATATCATTAGCTTAAGTTCTTACAGTAATAATGTTCTAAAATCATAGCCATCCAGATTTATCATATAATAAAGCATGTGCTTGAATACTTTTGAAACAACATGAGACAGCTCATTCCCAAAATAAGGGAATATCTGATTGTGCTGTTGTATGTGGCCAAGAATAAACTCTAGGAAAGATAACTTTGCCCACCATTGCTGTGACCTTGGTGACCTGGATCTCTACCAACAGTGTTTTTGACACTGGGACTCCCCATGTCTGTGAAGCCTCCGTGTTGAAAGAATAGAAACCAGGACTGGAAAGGGTTTGATGAGAGTGGAGTCTTTACACAGACGTACTGCAGTATTTAACCAGGCATCCAAGGCCTCCATTCCTCCTACCGCCTTAAATTTCATATGAAAACTTCATTTTTATCTTTGGGGCAAATTTTTCCAAGTCAGTTTCATCTTTGTGGCCCCAATAGTTCCACTTGGCATAATGCCTGGCACTGCTAACATGTGCTAAATCTTACTGGCACGGTTGCAATCGTAAGTTAGGGGCCAGGAAAGAATGATTTTATGGACACTTCATAATCTCCTGCCTGAGTGATTGAAACTCCCTCCTAGATGATCTTCAGTCCTCTGTCTCTCCCCACTCCATCCATTCTGCACACCACAATCATATTAATCTTCATAGAAAATGAAGATCACCATTAACCTCTCAGAAATCTCCAGTGGTTTTATACTGCCTACAGAATAAAGTTCAAACTATTTATCCCAGCATTCAAGGACACCATCACCAGTTCATAACTTGTATGATCCACAGTTAGACCACACTATTCTGTACTTCTCCCATGATCAATTCAGGCCAATATGGGATCAACTCAGGCCAAATCAGTGATTATTATTGTTGGTTACCAAAAAGAACTTGGAAAGTTAAGCCAGTAAAAATTGTGGCAAATGTAAGTTCAGTAAAGTACATCATGACCAATTAGATTCTATAGCAAAATAAAAAGCTATTCCTGGGTGCTGCTTTTCATTCTTTAGGTATCTGGTTGCATGATGCAGTGACATAGGTTGTGATGACTATAGATAGTATCTTCTCCAGTGGAAGTCACATATTGATAGTCAGCTCACCTGCTCCCTATTTACCTTACAGTAATCTTGCACACTATCTTCTCACAATAAAAAGTAGTACAGCAAAGTGGTAGACAGCATTGGCTCTAGAGTTAGACTGATGTAAGTTCAAATATTGACTTTGGCACCTGTAAGCCATGTGACCCCGGGAAATTACTTAATCTTTCAAAGCAAGTATAACCTACCTCATTGTGTTGTCAGGAAGTCTGAATATGATAATATATGTAAAACATTGTGATAATTAAATGAGATATGCATGTAAGCATGTAAAGGGTTAATTCCTAGTATATAGCATGTTTTTAATAAACTTTAGCCATTGTGGTGGTAGTCCTTGTTAAAATTAAAGCTAAGCAGCAGCAGATGATGTGAATTCACTCTCAAGAACTGTTGATGGAGTTGCCTACAGCCTGCACTTTGTGTAGAAGTGATCCTGTGCTTAAATCATTCTTTTGGAGAACATTGTGGGGTTTAATGTAGGATTGCCTACCTACTGGAATTCATATTCCAGGAAGATTTCGTTCTACCTTCAAAACCATGTTTACTGGGTACTTAAATTTAAAGTAAAAATTTATCTACTCCATTGAAAATACACAGGTTTGCACCATCCCATATTCCCTCCTAATTCATTGACAGACATGCATCTTTCACTGTTTAAATTAGTATTCACCAATATTTTTAGTTCTACCTTTTAACTTACTTTGTGTGTTACACTTTCATATTTTTATTTTGTGTATGAGTGTCCATATAACAACACAGTTGACATGTTTGTCTTAATAATACCTTTTGAGGTGTGCCAATATACCCTTACACCATAGTTTTGTCAAAGACTGCCTGACTGTACTCTTTAAAAATTAATTCAATTTTTTGAATATTAAAAAATATCATTTCAACAAGCATTACTTTTTCATGTGATTTATTCTCCTAGCCTGCATTCTTAAAAATAAATACACACACATACACTTACAAATAGTTTCAAGCTCATGTTCTGCCAAATTGCTATCAAAATGTAATTATTTCCCCAAGGCCTCACCAATATTGTTTCACTATTATTCATTTTACAAGCTTACTAAATACATAATAACATGATATAATTATTGGTAAGAAAGATCATTTTTCCATAAGTATTGAAAACTGAAAATTACTTCTATCATCTAGAGTTACAGCAAAGTTCCTATACCCTTACTACTTACCCACCAGAGCATTTAAAAACAGGGACATTTGTAAATGAATGGTGCCCTCAGAACAAATTTGAAGACACATTCCTTTTTTCTTTATTTTTTTCTTTTATTTTTTATAAAAATTGTATTTATTTAAGATGTAAAACATGATCATTTGATATATATACACAAAGTAAAATTATTACTAGCTAATAATTAGTTGATTATTAGCTAATTAACGTATCCATCTCCTCATTTGGTTATCTTTTTTTTTTCTGATGAGATCATGTGAAATCTACTCTCAGAAAATTACCAGTATCCAATACAGTATTATTAACTACAGTCATCATGCTGTACATTAGATCTCTAGAACTTATTCATGCTACATAAGGGGGATTTTGAAACCTTTGATCAGCATCTCTCCATTTCCCTCATTTCCCTGTCCCTGGTAACCACCATTCTACTCTCTGCTTCTATGAATTTGACTTTTTTAGGTTCCACATATAAATAAGATCATGAAGCATTTTTCCTTCTGGGTCTGGCTTATTTCATTTAGCATAATATCCTCCAGATTCATCCATGTTGTCACAAATGGCAGGATTTCCTTCTTTTTTAAGGCTGAGTGATATTCTATTGTACATATATACTGCAATTTCTTTATCCATTCATCCATCGACAGACAGTTAGGTGGCTTCTACAGCTTGGCTATTGTGAACAATGCTGTAAGGAACATGGGAGGGTAGATATCTCTCAAGGTACCGATTTCATTTCCTTTGGATATATACCCAGAAGAAGGATTGCTGGAACATATAGTAGTTCTATTTTTAATTTTTTGAGGAAACTCCATACGGTTTTCCATAATGGCTTTAGCAATTTACATTCCCACCAACAGTGTACAAGTGTTCTCTTTTCTCCACATCCTTGCCAACACTTCTTATCTCTTATCTTTTTGATAATAGCCATCTTAACATGTGTGAGGGATATCTCGTTGTGGTTTTTGTTTGCGTTTCCCTGATGATTAGTGATGTTGAGTAACTTTTCATATACCTATTTGCTGTTTGTATGTCTTCCTTGGAAAAACATCTATTTAGATCTTTTACCTATTTTTTAATCGGGTTGTTTATTTTTTGCTATTGGATGAGGCTTTCCCAGTGGTTCATAGACAGGCTTCTTGATGGAGTTTGCAACACAGTTAGTAGGATCCAAATCACTTCAATGCCCTCTGTGGGGGATCAGAACTGGCCACCTCAAAATGTTTCTCTTTGCCTTGATTATTTTCAAGAACAAAAGACTCTGAAAGAAACTTTGACCTCCCCTTCACTAACTGTCTAAAAGAAATTTAAGATAGAAGGCCTGTCCCAAGGACAGGACATCACCATAGATAACTCTGGGTATCAATAGACTGGGAGGATCCTTGCTCGGCCCATTCTTATCAAAGTTCTGTTTACCACGCATTTGCTTTTCCATTTCCATGTGAATTGCCTTCCTCCCCTTTGATGTCCCAAACAACTACCCCCAAAACCCTCATTTGTCTTTAGCTGAAGATGGTATTTAAGATGAGAACCTCTGCCGTTTTGGTGAGTTGCTCAGTTTTCCTGAGTCTCTCCCATGTATACATTTTATAAAGCTCTGTTTGATTTTCTCCTGTTATTCTGTCTCATGTTAATATAATTCATAGCCCAGCCAGAAGACCCTAGAGGGTAGATGATTTATCTTCCTCCCCTACACTTCCAAGAGTCCTACCTGCTGTTCTCCCAGCCTCTTTCCATCCCCCAGCCATGCAACTCATTACTCAGTACTCTGGATGGTGTGAGAGAGAAACAACCCGCTTTGGCAGCATCCCAAACAGCTGGAGAAGCTGGCCAATCATTCATACACTCTCACTCCCCCCAACCCCTGGGAGAAATCATGGGCCAAGAAGGTCTCCCTTGACACAGAGCTGTGCTGCCTTTGTGGGAGGGGTAATGTGGGTAAAGTTAAACTGTTCCTCTTACCCTCTCTAATACATGCAAATTCGGGGTTTTTTTCCTCCAAGAGTGTGCTAGAACTTCTCCACTGGAAACCTAAACTTTCAAGAAGGATCTTTCATCTGTGGGTGATTGTCCAAGACAGTGTTCTCCAAGGGCTCCCAGACTATGGCTGAAAGGGGCTGGAGCTGGTTCACGGGCACCTGCATGGTGTGCAACTGAGACCAAGGTCTGTATGCCTATTACCTGATGCAAGGATAGGCACTGGTGTATAGTGCTAGATCCCACAGCTCCCACAAAGGCACTTTTGTCCTTGGAGATGGATGCCCAATTGTTGTTGTTGAGGGGGGATATGAGTGGAAGATGTTTTATTTGGCCATTTTGCTGAAGTCACCCAAGAAACTCACTTTACAATCAAGTACACACATAGGCTGAAAGTGAAGGGATGGGAAAAGGGATTCTGTGCAAATGGTAACCAGAAGAAAGCAAGATTGGATATACTTTTATCAAACAAAGTAGATTTTAAGTCAAAAAATTGTCTCTAAAGACAAAGAAGGTCGTTACAGAATGATAACAGGGTCAATTAAACAGGAAGATATAACA